AAATATTTTAAGTACTAAAAATGACTTAATGCAAAATTTCATTGAGATTCACCAATTAGTTTATAACAAATAAATATTATTTACTGAACAGTCTGCATCTCAATGTAACTTTACATAAATATTTTTGAATTCATAAAATACATATATTAAAAAATTGAGATTTTTATCATTATTTTATAATACATTTTCATATATTTCTATTAGAGTATAAATTTAAAAAATATTATTTTTTATTGAAATAACATTTGATCTAAATAGTTATCTCTAATTTTTTTGTATTACTTTTAAATGCAATTTATAATTTAAATTATTTTATAATTTTTTTCAAGTAATCTTACATATTGCATTTGCCTTACCTCCTTTAATGTGACAGACAAAGCATAATTATTTTTTGAAACATTATTTTATTTGCTGCTATAATTTGTATTTTGTATTTGTATTTTGCAGTTACATCACGATCAAAACTCCGCTGCGCATCGTACCGGTGAGTCGCATGATTATTTATTTATGAGATTAAATGAGTGAGTTTATGTATAATTCAGGATTCGCTATTGAAATTCGATAATTGAAGGAATAGAAGATATATAATTACATACACACATGTATATACATTTGTTACATTTATTTAAAGAAATGCGATTTTATTTTTTATTTAATCATTTTTTGTGAGAGTATAGATCTGCTTAAAATTAGAATAGATCAATTATATTTACTGCAAAACAAATTAATTTTGAATTAAGAATGTATTATTTATATGTATTATATGTATTTTAGAAATGATATGTATTGAAAATCATACTAATGTATTCTACTTATTCTATTTTTTGTTATTCTATTTATTTTATTCTTTTTATTTTTTCATGTTTAAAGATTTCCCGGTTCATTTAATTATTAGATTTATCTTAAACGATATACTTCATTATTAAAAAATTGCGCGAATCAATCAATAGAGTTTTATAAGATTATAGCTCCAGAAAAATACTTTAGTAGTAAAGACAATGTATGTGATCATTGAAATCGTGTGAGGCGAAAAGAATTATCGAAGCAGCTGTGAGCCTATTCCAATAAATTAATTTGTGAAGCAGATTCTCTTCACGATCAAGTGCTTCGTAAAACTACACAGCTAGCCAGTCAATCGAAGCAAAGTGCTTCGTTACACAGAAATCTTTTTGCGATCATTTCTTGTTGTTCTTCTGTTTAATAACATATATCATCTGTAATTGATTTTATTATTAGTACAATTAATTTTTCCAATAATCCTTGTAATTTATTATATGAGAGAGTGGGGAGAGAAGCACAGAGAAAGAGAGAGAGAGAGGAAGTTTCTTATTATATTGCAGAATTTTTAGTTTCTTATTATATTTGGCAAAAAAGATTGTTTAATAGCAATTTTTTTTCTATTATAATAAATAATGAAAGAGATAATTTAGCGAGATTTAAAAAAAAAATAAAATTGTTATTAGCAAAAAAACCGAAATTATGTGTAATAAGAGAAATAATTGAATTATAGTTATAAGTTATATAGTAATATATAATATAGTAATAAGTTATAAGTAGGAGAAAACTGGAATCAAAGATAATACGGGTAAGCCGTGTTACTTTTGATTCCAGTTTCCAAAATATGCAAATATAAGAAAGAGATAGAAGTAATAAATATATTATAAACTTTTATCTCTTTCTTAAGCTTTTGTATTTTATTTATAATGTTTTTTTATGTGTTTTTTATGTTTATTTATGGCTTACCCGTGTTACTTTTGATTCCAGTTTCTCCTACTTATAACTTATTATATATTAATTCAGTTATTTCTCTTGCTACATATAATTTCGATTTTTTTCTAATAACAATTTTATTTTCCTTTTAAAAAATCTCGCTAAATTATCTTTTTGATTATTTATTATAATAGAAAAAAAATTTATTATAATAGAAAAAAATTGTTGTTAGACAATATTTTTTGCCAAATATAATAAGAACTTAGAAATTCTGTAATATAATTAAAGATAAGAAACTTGTCTCTCTCTCTCTCTCTCTCTCTCTCTCTCTCTCTCTCTCTCTTCCTCTTTCTCTGTACTTTCCTTCATAGTATAAAAATTTAATAGGCTCTTGCAAGATTAACATAGATTCGTCTCTCAATTTCATTTACTACAAGATTTCTTCTCAATTATCTAGAAGTAGTGTGACTTTATAGATAAAGAGAACCCGGATCTATACCAAAACAACTAATAAATAACGGGTAGTAGCTATTCTAGGATCGAACGAGTTTGCAATGGTTCTATTTTCTATCTTCTTCTCTGTGAATTGTTTGCCTCTTCTCCTCTTCTTTCTTTATTATGTTGCTACTCTCTCTCTCTCTCTCTCTCTCTCTCTCTCTCTCTCTCTCTCTCTCTCTCCATCTTCTACCTTCGCGGTACTTTCATTGATAAATGGGGAAACAGAAGCTCCAGTTTCTCTCGAAGAAGACTCGCGATGAACGTAGCTCACTCTGTATCGGTCTGTGCCATCTTCGGAGTCTTTCTTCTTCCTCTTCGTGGTTGCCCGTTAACGAGGTACGAAAGCGAGAAGGCGAGTTCGAGTTGGAGAACAACATAACCATTCTGACGATCACTCGAATTGGAAACCGTGAGTTCGTTAATTTATACTGGCTACGTTAGGAAGTCCCAATTAAAATCGAGTTTAGACAGACCTTGAATAGATATTATTTCTTAAAAATACATACAATATTAAAATATTAGCTTATTGAGGTATTATTATACATTTAATACTTTCTAAATTCTTTGAAATGAAATCTCACTTTTAAAGATTGCAAATTTTGTTACTCTTTGTCAAGAATGGTAAGATTTTCACTCTTTAGAGTGAGATTCCAAACAATTTAGAAAATAGTACTATCTTACTTTTTTCAAGTGTAAATCTCGTTTAAAAAAATAATTTATATCACTGAGCGAAAGGATTTTATTAATTCAATAAGCCACCAGTATCTTTAACCGATGATCGGTAAATGTGTGACAACAAATTTTGTTGTGATTGCTGTTGTCTGCTATACCAACCAATTATTAGTAATTGAAACAAACTATATAGAATCTACCTATTTTTTGGATAAATTTTAGATTCGTTTACATAGAATTCATAGATGATCATGGAGTTTTAAGTTATAGAAAACCGACCAAATACAATCA